AAACAGTAAATTCATGTTTTTGATCCACTCCGTCTTATTATTTTTAATTTCTTTAAACCTCTGAACTTCAGCGCTCGTTTTTCTTCACTGTGGTTCATTTTTCTCTTTAATTTAAAGTCCTGCAGCTCCGTGGAAACAGGAAACAAAAACTCAGAAATGTTTTCTGTCAGTAGGAGACAGAATGATTGAAATCGGGGGGAAAAAAAGAGTTCAATTTCTTTAATTATTTCTTTACAAAAAAATGAAAAAAGGTGTCACCAACACTGGAACAACTGTGGCTCTACGTACTGTAGATATGTGACTATTTACATTGAATTAATTAATCAGGTTCCATCTTCATCTTTTCTCTGCACAGTTCAAACACTGCCTGCAGTTCATCCAAAACGTTGCTGATTTTTTGTCACCTGACTGTCAGTCACAGTCGAGTTACTAAAAATGTTTGTGTTGCGCTAAAGACACCAGAATTTTATGTTTTAAACGAAATCCTTTTAGTGCAAACTGTTTATTTTTGACAGATGTTTAAATGAGACGCAGAATAAAGTGATTTTGGTTAAAAATCACAAATTTAAGCTTAGATTTGGTTAATTTTCCTGATTGAGCTGAATGTTGCATGTGATTATCTCAAAGACAGTCTGAAAGACGAAGAGCTGACGAATTTTTCTGTTTTTACAGATTTTGGTTTGGATCAATGGTGTAATTTTGGCATTTTATTAAAATAATAACATGCATTTTTAAGGTTTCTGGGTTCGGATCACAGATGAATTGATCCAGAGTTGTTGTTTTATGTTTCTTGGTTTTTAAAACCTGAACAAACATGAACCCTTCGTGCCTCTACTTGTTCTATCCTCCATGTTTTAGATTCCTCTGCTGCAGCGAGCCCAGGCCCTGTCCCCCGGGCCTCTGTCCCTGCTGGCCAGCGCCTGGAGCGCCCCCGCCTGGATGAAGACCAACGGTGCGCTGACGGGTAAAGGCTCCCTGAAGGGGCAGCCGGGGGGCAAAGAGCACAAAGCCTGGGCTCAGTACTACGTCAGGTGAGTCGCTTCGCCTTTAAAAGTCAGAGCTCCAGACCAGATAACTCACCTGTAAACGTCTCCTCTCAGGTTCCTGGAGGAATACTCCAAATACAACCTGAGCTTCTGGGCCGTAACCACCGGCAACGAGCCCTCTGCAGGCCAGATGACCAACTACAGGTGTGTCTTCGTGTCCTCTCGTAATCCTTCAGACGTGTGGTTTCCTTGCAGCTGGCTGAGGTTTGTGTTTGTGCTGCTGCAGTTTCCAGGCTCTGGGCTTCACCGCCGAGCAGCAGAGGGACTGGGTGTCTCTGGACCTGGGCCCGGCCCTCCATGCCTCGTCCTTTCCCAGAACCCACGTCCTGATCCTGGACGACAACCGGCTGCTGCTGCCCCGCTGGGCCAAAGTGGTGAGTCCAAGGACGCAGCGGGGGGCTGCTGGAGGAGTTGATGCTGCTGCACAGGACAGATCAGGAGTTTAAACCTAAATCAGTCAATACAGCAATAGAGTCACTTCTAAAGCATCACTCAGGATATTACAAGTTAATAATCATCACTACAAAAAAAAAAACATGTGCTAAGGAGGATTTAGGTAATGGGGGGAAAGAAAAATTAAGTGTTTAAAAACATTCTAAGGCTGTAAAATGTAAAAACTTAAAAAAGACAGAAAATAACAGCAAATATCTGTAAATTAATGACATCATTAGCTGATTTAAATACAGTAAAACAGTGTAATTTATGGTCACACATTATAAAAGAACATATATATTTTTAAAAATACAGATTTTTGATGAAATATTGTACCTTTTCTTTTACAGACTTTTTTTTTTTTTTAACAGATTAATGTTTTTCTTTGGTTTTACTTGATGTTATTAGTAACACCTAAAAATCTAAATTTAACAAAACAGGGAAAATATGTGTTACACAATTTTTACATTATATAACAGGAACTATGTATAAAATATGTGTATTTGTAGCTGATTCAAATAATGTAAAATAGTTACATTTATGATCACACATTAATAAAGAACATATTTTTGCAAAAATACAGATTTTTGATGAAATACTGTACAGTTTTTGCCTTTTTTTACAGTCAACATGCAGATTGATGTGTTTTTCTGTGATTTTAATAAATATTAGTATTATTTAAATATCTGAATTAAAAAAAACTCCCATAACAGCAAATATCTGTAAAATATTAATATTATATGATATATATATGAGATTTAAATACAGTAAAATAGCAATGTTATGGTCACACATTGTCAAAGAACATATATATTTATACAAATACAGACTATTTATGAAATATTTTAGAGTTTTTGCCATTTCTTTTTTTTTTCTTTTTTACAGTCATGGTGTAAATTAACTGGTTTTACTAGAGATTATCTGTAATTGAACAAAACAGGAAAAACCTTTAAAATAACAGTTAAAACAGGTGATTTACTGTTTTTAATCCTTAATGTACATTGTTTTACTTTCAAAATATAATAATGATATTTTTTGGCTGTGTAGTAAAAAAAAATTGTGTATTTTATGGTCAAATGTTGTAAAAGAAACAATTACAGTTTTGGCTTTTCTTTCTTTCTTTTTTTTTAAACATTTAACTTCTAAATGAAAAACCTTTTTATCAATTTAATTGTATATTACAGGAAACTGTAGAATATCTGTTAAAAAATATATTTAACATTTTCCAATACATAAATATACTTTCCGTCCAAGAGCAATAACACTAAATTCTCTCATTGCAGCTTCTTAAATGTGGATATTTTTCTGGTGTCGTTGCTTCTCAGTGACACTGAGCTGAACATCTTGTTGTCTTTTGTATATTGTGTTTTAATTACATATAGATGTTTTTTTTTAATGATTCCTTTACACCTATATGCCTCCAACAATCCAACAATGCATTTTGTTTTTTTCTTAGATTTATTAAAGGACTTCTGGAAACACGGATAAATCTGTTGGGTCATAAGTATCCATGCAGCAGCTTGAATGTTCACTTTTCGTTGTTAATCACATTTTCTTAGCGTTATGGCTCTTAACCTGTTGTGAATGATTTCAGATTTCAGATTTCAGATAACCTCAGATACTCGTTTTTGCTTCCTCCAGGTCCTTAGTGACATCCAAGCAGGACGCTACATCCATGGTGTGGCGGTCCACTGGTACCTGGACCACCTGGTTCCGGCTGACATCAGCCTGGACGTCATCCACCAGCTCTATCCAGAGTACTACCTGTTTGGCACCGAGGCCTGCGCCGGCTGGAGCCCGGCGGACCGCGGGGTGAAGCTGGGCAGCTGGGACCGAGCAGAACAGTACGCTCACGACATCATCCAGGTGGGATCCTCGGCTGCGTGTTCGGTCACGTCCACAGAGTGAGTCAGCCGCAGGTTTACAGGCTGAGCTCCACGAAACAGCCTGCAGGCCTCAGAGCAAGCTGGAACCTGGAACCCGGAACCTGGAACCGGTTGGATGCATTCAGGCTGCATTCAGGCTGCATTCAGG